GCTGCCGCCAACTGCGGCCAGCGCTCTCTTGAGGCAGTTATTGGTTGTCTTAGAGTGTCAGCAGAATAAGGACGCACGATAAGGATACAAGTGTCAGCAGAATAAGGACGCACGATCATATGGCCAGCACTCTGCGAGCGGGGCGCGGGCAGGGAAAGCGGCCAAGGATGGCCGAAGGGAAAGGACGCAAGGGTAACTTTTTGGAAAGTCGCAAATCCTTACTGTGTGGGTCGACCGCAGAGGCTTCTTGAAGCTCCACGAGGTAGTCCCGAGGCAATCCGAAGCCGAAAGGCTTCTGGCGCAAAGTCACTGATTCCGAACTATCCTGTGGTGTTGGGTCCTCGTTTGGAAGGTAGTGCCGCTTGCTCCTCCTCCTCCTCCTCCTGCTCCTCCTCCTCCTCCTCCCTCCTCCCTTCTTAGATTCTTCCTCCTCCCTCCTTCCTCCTCCCTCTTCCCTTCTCCCTCCTCCCTCCTCCCTCCCTCCTCTCTCCTCCCTCCTCTCTCCTCCCATCCCTGCCACTGCCCTCCGCATGCCAATTCGGCACAAAACTCTTCACGCTTCGTGGCCCCACAGGGAGTTCCGCCGAAGGCTACAGCGTCATCTTCGACACGGCGTACCTGCACACGATTCGGCTCACCCCTGACGCGTTTCATTGCCCCACAGGGAGCTTCATCGAAGGCTCCAGCTGCAGCGTCCCCATGTCGCACCCGCACCCAATTCACCTCACCCCTTACACGCCTCGTGGCCCCACAGGGAGCTCCATCCAAGGCCCCAGCGGCAGCGTCCTCATGGAGCTCCACCGAAGGCCCCAGCGGCAGCGTGCGCATGGCGTACCCGCACCCAATGCGGCACACCCCTCGCACGCTTGGCAGGCAGCGCCTGGCATCAGCTGGCCCTCCGCGTGGGATGCGCCTGCCCCCCGGCCATCTTCAGAGACTCCGAGGCCACTGGGGGCCGTCTTATGGCGGTCTTGGGGCCTCTTCGAGGCATGCTAGAAGTTACCTTGAGCGGTCTTGTGCCACCTTGGAGGCCATCTCGGGCTATGTGGAGCCATCTTGGAGCCACCTCGGACCAAAAAGGACCCCTCGGACACCTCCGCCTCCTGGGCCCAGGCCCAGAGGAGGGACTTCATGCAAGCAGGCGTGCGAGCCTCTCCAGTCGTCGGGCGGCCCCTGGGGCCCGCGGTGCCACGGCCTCCCAGGCGGGCGAAGACGCCCTCAAGACCGCCCGAGACGACCAGAGAAGGGGCGACAAGACTCGACGAGACACGCCGCGGCCAGGCAAGACCTGACAAGACACGCCATTGCAGCCTCCCAGATCGGCCCAAGTAGCCCCACCACACCCCAAGAGGGTTCCCGATGGGGCCAACATCTTCCCAAACCAGTTGGAATCCAATGCGTTTTGCCCTCTCTCTTGAGGCCTCCCGATGGCCCACTGAGCCCCAAGACGGACCACGGCGCTGCCCAGAGGCTCCGAAGAGAGCCCACGGAGGGATCCAAGAAGGCCCTGCGGGAGGGAGAACTCTTCCGGCGCAGAGGGGTAAGTAACGCCCTGAAGGGGAAGACGGGCGTAGGACGTAGGAGCACCACCACCTACGCCGAGAGGGCTGGGTTGGGAGGGTCAGGAGGAGCAGTAATTCACAAGAGGATTTTTTGGGATTGCGCATCTGTTTCAGCCGCCGGCTGGTCTGGTGACAGGTCGGCACTCAACATGCCAAGCAAGTCGGGGCCTGATGCTTTGACGTTGCATCGGCTCGGGCGCCAAGCTTGCGGGCAAACTCTGTTGCCCGTCGCAGTGAAAGGGCAGAACGTGCAGGACACAGAGAGCAGCACAGCCCGTGCAGAACAAGGGGGAGGCACACGCAAAGAGACAGCGAGGCGGGCGGTCCTTGGCTGTCTCCTGGTGCCGGGCCCCTTACATGCAAAGAGGGGCGCACATCTACGGCCACTCATCACATGCGGCGGGAAGCATTCCTCGGCCCGCAGTTGGCCCGAGAGCGGGACGGTGGCGGAACAGCCGTTGCGACCCCAGAGGGGGGTATTGTGCAGCACAGCCTCTCCTGCTAGCCAAAGTGGCTTGCCTTCACTGCGTGGCGCCAGCCGGGTCCGAGCATGCGTACTTCAGGAGGGAAAGGAACACGTACACACAATTAATCGTCGACTCCCAGGACAATGATCTACGAAAATGTGGGAAGTAGGGGGACGAACATCAACAAAAATATGGAAACATATGGGAATCCTGTTATTTGGTGTGTATTTATGTGTGTGTCCCAGGGCCCCTTTAGTACTGCCGTCATTAGCCTGGCCAGGGCGAGTCATCTTCTTCCCTCTCCACGGCACGAGCGGCGGACGGCGGAGGACAACAACGTCGGCGACCTATCTGCACGCCAGGGAGCCCTCAGCATCCCATGCATCGCCGGGCGGAGGCACACGGGCGGGAGGGACTGGAACTTGCGGGTGAGGCATCGCATGTCGCTCGAAACAGGGGGCCTCGCACGCGTGATACGCTATTGGGGGCACCAGCACCAGCGGCTGTGGCCACGTGGGCCCTTGACAAGAGAGCATTCGAGAGGCACGCGGCAGGCTGGCAGCTGCGGAAGAGCTGCTGAACCTGGCGGGGGGGTGGGGGGCTGGGTGTAGCGCACGGGGAGCCTCGCACGTGTGTTGGTGCGCTGTCGGGGGCACCGCTAGCCCCGGCCGGGCTCACCGGGCCCCTGCGTTTGCTTGGGCGGGGTGCTGGCGGGTCCTTGGAGCCTGTACGTACGCGTCGGTCCGTCAGCAAAGGCGCAGAAGCGGCGACGTCAAAGTAGAAAGTGGGAGCCAGGAGTCTTCCACAACAGTTCGCTGCCGACTTGCTAGCTTGCCCTGTGGAACAGACCCTGCCCGAACGATGCATCTGCAGCACACGGCGCCACGGCGAGGTGTGCTCTGGCTGCCTTGGCACCTCTGCGCGCACGCGCTTGCTCCCTGCTCTTGGCGGTTCCAGCCCCAGTCTCGTCTGACAGCTGCACAGGCTTTTGGAGGAGGGGGGGGGCGTGGGTGGTGTTGAGCTTGGGGTTCCCGACAGTGGCTCGCCCAGAAAAGATTGGGCCTCAAGGCATACTTGCTCCTCGTCAGTCCCGGTGCGGCGGCCTGGGCGTGGCAGTGGGGTCTGAGACGTCACCACTCTGCTCCTGCTTCGTTGCGGCAGGTTCGGGTGAGGAAAGTCGACTTATTTCGGTATCTGCCCGTGGGGCCCGAGACGTGTGCGACACAGCATCTGGTGCCCATTCCCCGCACTGGTCCCAGGAGACATGCAAATTCTAAAGCGCGTGGCGGATCCAGTGGTTTCCCCCCGTATCCTCATGCACCTTTTCATCGCAACCTCCTTCCCACACTGTCTGCACATAATCGATCATGCTATTTGCGAAGCACATACATATTCGGTCGGGGTGTGTCGTTTTCCTGGCGGATCTCCATTCCCTGCGAGTTCCGTCGTAGCCCAGCGATTTTTCGTGACCTCTCTCTCCTTGTGAACACCTGCCTCTCCCCTCCGTATCCAACAGACGGCTGTGTAGGCCTGAGACCATGGAACGCCACGATCCTAGTTGGTGCTCTCGACGACCGACTGTGTTCGAACTCGTATCAAAATCCGTGGTTGCCACTGCTCAGGAGGAAATCATGGCCCAGAGGGGTTGCCATGTGAAGGACGTCGCAGCCTGCATACTCCACTCGCATGGCTGCGGGTGTTCCATCCAACAGCTTGTGCCTATTATGAGGCGCGCGGCGAATAGTGTGACCATCGCTCCTAGCAGCGCGTTTCCTGCCCACACCTGTTGCACCTGTCGTGATATGAGCGCAACCATTCCCCGATTCTCGTCATGCGTCCGTTGAAGGGGGGGGGCGCTACCTTCAGCCCATCCCGCGACTGATCATGTCTCACACGGTGGGCCCTCCTTCCGACAACACGACCCGCTGCGTTAGCACGTGCTCATTCCGTATGGCGAGTGCACCTGCATTCATCATGTCACCGAGCGTCGCGTGAATAGTTGTGTTGATGGACAGTATAATAAGAATCTAGTCGGCAATCTAGTGCGCCCATTCCACCTGCGCCCGACTGTCCCCTCCCCGCCGTCGACCAAAGTATAGGTTTTCAGTACATCGTATTCTACCCGACGCACTGCACACGGGATGGGGTAAGCCGCGACACTTGTATACCGTTCCAGAAGAAGCGAACGCGTTGGATACTTTTCCGTGTTTTTTTGTCAGCTGGGATGTCGTCATACGTTTGCGGAGGTGGTAGTGGTGGCGGCGGTGGCAAGCCTTCGGCATCCGGATCTGCCGCCGCCAAGCGCTCCCTGGCCTTTTGCCGCGTTAGTGTCGCCAGGATTCGTTAGGCTTCGGGCTCCTGGGGTCCCAAAGGCCTCATGGTTGGGACCACCACGTGCCGCCTCGAGATCGGGACACCGCCTATGAGCGAACCTTCATGGGGCCCCACATCGGCGTGCTCCAAATGATATGCTGGACTATGTCGCGTAATAAGGAGGACATGCACACATCTCGGGGAGTCCGCGGCCAAATTATATGTTCGAATTGCCCGACTGAAAAACCAGATGTAGGCGTGCATGACATCGTCAGCCTGGGTGGCCTTCTGCACGTGCCAGGTCGGTCTGTCTGCGATGCGTGCGTGCCACATGTATCCGACACGCTGCATGGTTGCTGCGAAACCTCTTAGCACATCACAAGCATGTTGTGGCTACGGTCGTTACCCGCTCAACAAACATACCGTGGGAAGTAGTGTTGACCCGCTCTGGCACTCCGGCAGGACTAAATGTGTCAAATAATCCCGGGCGACTTGCTCTGCTGTGTTCTCGCGCATGTCGTTTACAGGAGGAGGAAGGGAGGACGAGGAGGAGGAGGAGGGCGAGGGGTGACGAGGAGGACGATGACGAGGGGGACGAGGCTGAGGAGGAGACCGTGGAGCAGCCAGCAGCAGGCCGAGAGCGGCAGCTGGCGCAGCCATGCCCCCGCCCGGCCAGGAGCAGGGCGAGGCCATCGAGCAGCTGCGGTGCCGGGCGGAGGCGGCGTCCGGCGCGAGCCCGGACACAGGCGCGCCGCGGCGCGGCGCGCCGACCGAGCGCCGCCAGCGGAGCCCCGCCACGACGATGGCGACGTCGACGGACCGCCGACGGACCGACGACGGACGTCCGACGACCGACGTCCGACGAGCCCCGCGAAGCCCCGCTGGCAGGCCAGCGAGCGCCGCCGCTGCGGCGCCGGCCACGCTCTCTTCGGCGACGCGTGGGAGTGGCGCTTGGGCTCTTCGGGCCGGATGAAAGGGGGGGGGGGGGGGGAAAGGGGGGGTTACGAAATTTGCTGCATGCAGCTGGTTCCGGCCCCACCGAGGGGCCCATTCCTCGATACATGGCCGCCTCCGGCGCCAGGGGGCGCCGGCAAAATCAGCCACGTGAGCTGATTCTCCCCCCCCCCTTTGCTATCCCCCCCTTTCGGCCGGCCCGAACCGCGCCGCACGCGCAGGATCGACGTCCGACGAAGGCATCTATACACCACCACCATGTCAGGCCAGGGCCATCCTGGGCCCCAGGATGGTGTATAGACCCTCCTGGCCTCGGCCAGGAGGGCGCATACACTATGCCAGGGCCAGGATGGCCCTGGCATGGCACGGTGGTGGTGTATAGATGCCTTCAGCGTACGACGAGCGGCGCACCGCAGGGCACCTCTTGCCTGCCGTCGCTTCCTGCGTGCAGCCGAATGCTCCGGAGGGCGGCGGGGCGAGGGCGCCGAAGAGAGGCTCTCGTTGCCAAGGGCGGGCCGCAGGCGCGAGGAGGCCGCAGGCGCCGGAGGGCGGCAGGCGCGAGGAGGCCGCAGGCGGGCGGCCGGTGCCTCCGTGGGTCGGTCGGGGCTGGGCCGCGGAGGGGCCCGGTGTTCGGGCAGCCCCTTCGGTGGGAGCGGTCGCCGCGAGGCCAGCGTGTCCTGAGGGGAGTGGGGCCTGAGATTTTTAGCCATTTCCGGGCTCGACAGTACAGGTGCGGTTCATGCTGATGCTGGTGATGATGATGCTGATGCTGATGATGATGATGATGCTGATGATGATGATGCTGGTGATGATGATGATGATGATGATGATGATGATGATGATGATGATGATGATGATGCTGGTGATGATGCTGCTGCTGCTGCTGATGATGATGATGATGAGGATGAGGATGAGGATGAGGATGAGGATGAGGATGATGATGATGATGATGATGATGATGATGATGATGATGATGATGATGATGATGATGGTCACCTTTTTGCAGGTGGCGGTGGTAGCATCTGCCGCAGCAGCGAGGGTCGCGGGCGGACCTCGGGGCCCCGCCCGCGCACGCCGAGGCACGGACCAGGCTGCCGACGCCTGGGCCGGCGAGGCCCTGGCGGCCGCGCAGGAGGCCGTGAACGCCCTGCGCGAGGACCGGCCCCCCTCTCCCGGGGGGCTCAGGGATCGGGGACAACGTTTTGGGGGGGAGTTGGTAAAACGACGCGAAGATCGGGACAAAATCGGATCGGGATAACTCGAAATCTCTGAGAATCGGCGGGTTTGGAGGATGTGTTGGGCGCCGCGGCCGCTCCAGAGCGTTCCGGAACGCTCTGAGAGCGCTCCGGAACGCTCTGGAGCGATTCATCCCGATCCTAGCCTTGTTTTAGTTGGGGGCGGCCAAGAAGGGGGGGTGATGACTGGGTGCTCCGTGTGCAGCCCGGGTGCTCTGGGTGTTCCAGTTGCTTGGGGTGCTCCAGGTGTCCCAGGTGTTCCAGGTACCCCTTTGGAAAGCAACCGTTTAAACATCTGGCTGGAATTGTGTGCCGCCACGCCAGTCCTGGGACTGCAACGCCGCGAATCGCCATTACTGTTGCGTCTGGACGATCCCGAACCGTATCAACATACAGCAGAGCACCATTCCTTGGCTTCAACACCTCGAATCAACATAATCATTGCGCCATGACATTCCGACATCGTGCCACAACATCACTGCTGGGACAGTAACCATGATGCTCCTTGAAGCTGTCGTAAACTCTTAAAGCGAAATGTGCGCGACGCTCAGGCGAGAGCCACATTTTGTAAAGGAACCGCCATCGGAGCACTTGCAGTTTTTTAGAACGAGTGTGCGAGGCGCTCAGGCGAGAGCCACATTTCGATAATGGCCCGCCCTCCATCAGTGACCTTCTTCTTGCGAATCTTAAAGACGAACGTGCGCGGCGCTAAGGCGCGAGCCATATTTTGAAGACGCCCTGCCCTCCTTTTGTGAAACTGTTGCAACTTAACGCCTGGCCTGCCCTTTCAACTGGCCTCGGGGTGCGACAGATGGGAGTTTTTGCATCGCTTCACTCATTCCGCTGGCCCATTTCGCATCACGGTGGCTGCGTGGTGGTGTGCTCGTGTCCATAGGGAACGGTAGGGCAGGCAGGATCGTCCTCGAGGAGTTTTTTGGAAATGTGGCTTGCACCCTGTCGAAGAGCTCCGATCGGCTCAAGAGAGCTCCAGCAGAGTTTCGAGACGTACCTGCGTTGTGGGTCGAAGTTCTCATGGATGCTTCTTGGGGTCTCTTCGAAGGGCTCTCGGGAGCCTCTGGGGAGCAGTTTTGAACCCTTTGGGGAGCCTCTTGGGGGCTTCTTGGGGGCCTCCTGGGGCTTGCTGGGGGCCTGTTGGGAGCCTGGGGTGCTCCTTTTGAGACCTCTTGGGGCCTCCTGGGTGGCTTTTGGGGGCCTATGGGGGCTTCCTGAGCGCCTCTTCGGTCCGAGAGGACGAAACGTCTGTTCGGGTTCCCCCTCTGGGCCCACACTTTGGGACATCCTGGGGCCGTCTTGGATGTCTCTTGGGCTGTCTCAGGGCTACCTTGGGCCATTAGGGTGCCCTCTTGGAGGCTTTTTGGGCCGTCTTGGAGCGATCGTGGGGCTTCTTGGGCCGTCCAGGGCAGTCGGCAGCTCGACAAGGCGGTGCCGCCCAACTCGTCCGAAAACCAAAGGAAAATCAATGATTTGTGCGTCTTCGGGGCCTCTCGAAGTCCTCTTGGAACCCTCCCAGAGCTTCTTGGGCGCTTCTTGGGCCGTCTTGGGACCCCCCGAGGCCGCGCCTAGGAGTTCCGGCAGCTCTGGCCCGACCCTGACGGGACTTTGCTGGGACCTTGCCGGGGTATTCTTCGTCCGGGGACCCCCGGGGGGCCGCCACGCGCGCGCGAACTAGAAACATGCTTGAACTGTTGACGGAGATTCTGGCACGCCTCTGGCCCGTTGGGCCGGCGCATGTATAAGGAAAAGGAATGCAGCAGGAGGAGGGGGGAGTATGAGGGGGAGGAGGAGGCAGGCATCTCCCTCTCGCCGCGACGCGGCGTCCCCGCCCGACGCAGGAGGTGCTGGCCCTCCGCGCGGAGGACATGCTGGCCTTGCAGGACCGAACCACGGCCAATTCGAAGCAGCGCGCCCGACCCCCCGAACGAGGAGGAGGAGGAGGAGGAGGAGGAGGAGGAGGAGGAGGAAGAGGAGGAGGGCAACGCTTCAGAGGAGGAAGAGGTCCCGATACCGCCCGCAGCTCGTTCTGGGGGGCCCTCGTCGCCATGGCCTGAGTTTCTTCGAAATGTTGGTCAGAACGCACCCTGGGCGAGGGCCGATGAGGACGACGGAGTGGGGGGGAGAGGGGAGGCGGAGGGGGTCGGCGGGGGATGAGGACGACGAGGACATGAGGATGGAGGGGATGCGGAGGAGAACGAGGAGGAGGAGAAGAGGAGGAGGAGGAGGAAGAAGCAGAGGAGGAGGAGGAGGAAGAGGATGAGGAGAAGGATCATCCCAAGTTTGATGATGTGGAGGAGGAGCATTGAATGATGTGATGAGGACGACGAGCAAGATGATTGATTAGGGGGGAGGATCTGGGAGGATGAGGTAAATGTGGGGAGGGAGGAGAAGGATAATGAGCAGGATGGAGAGAAGGAAGGGAGCAGAGGGAGGAGGACGAGGATGATGAGGAGGAGGGAGGACGATGATGAAGAGAACCTGATAACGTTTTCGGAAAATGGCGACGCCGAGTCTGGGGGAAGACGGAGGGATCTGATGGAGGATGTTGACGCGAAGGATGAGGAATAGGAGGACGATGAGGACAATGAGGGGGAGATGAGGAGAACGGCGAGGAGCAGCAGGACGAGGACGAGGACGACTTGCGGATGAAGAGGAGGAGGCGGAGGGATAAGGTGGATGATGATGATGCTGATGATGATGATGATGCTGATACTGCTGATGATGATGATGATGATGATGATGATGATGATGATGGTGATGGTGGTGATGATGATGATGATGATGATGATGATGATGATGATGATGATGATGCTGATGCTGATGATGATGCTGATGATGATGATGATGATGCTGATGCTGCTGATGATGATGATGATGATGAGAAGGAGGAGGAGGAGGAGGAGGAGGAGGACGATACATAGGTGGGATGACCATGGGGAGGAGGAGGAGGAGGAGGAGGAGGAGGAGGAGGTTGAAGGGAGAGGTTATGGATGATGATGCTGCTGCTGATGATGATGATGATGCTGATGGTGGTGATGATGATGGTGGTGATGACGATGATGATGATGATGATGATGATGATGATGATGATGATGATGATGATGATGATGATGATGATGATGACGATGATGATGATGATGATGCTGATGATGATGATGCTGATGCTGATGATGATGATGATGATGATGATGGTGATGATGATGATGATGATGATGATGATGATGATATGATGATGATGATGATGATGATGATGATGATGATGATGATGATGATGAGTAGAGGAGGAGGAGGAGGAGGAGGAGGGAGGAGGGAGGAGGAGGAGGAGGAGGAAGAGGAGGAGGAGGAAGAGGGAAGGAGGAGGAGGAGGAGGAGGAGGAGGAGGAAGAGAAGGAGGGCGGAGAGGAAGGAGGAGGAGGAGGAGGAGGAGGAGAGGAGGAGGAGGAGGAGGAGGAGGGATGATGGAATGGGGAGGAGGAACGGAGCAGGACGGGACGGACAGAGCAGGGGAGGGCACGTGGAGGGCACGGGGACGGAGGAGGGACGGAAGAGGGCGGAGGAGGATTGGGCCTTCCTTGGCAGGAGGCCATCGCCGGCCTCTCGGAGGAGATGTCTAAGGCGCCCCCCCGGTGCGCCTGCTCCCCTGCGCACCCGCGTCTCCAGCGGTCTCGCCTGTCTTTCCCGCCCACCCTCCTTGCCTCCGCCTTCCTTGCCCTCTCCATCCTCCTCCATCCTCCTCCCCCCTCGTCCCCTACTCCCCGAATGAGGACAAAACCATAAAGCATCAGTTTTCGGAGCTCCGCGCGGGTTTCATGCATGGGCGCTGGGTCCTCCCTGGCGTTTCATGCGGCGCCTTCAGGGGGGGGGCTCGGGGCTGGATCCAAGAAATCCGTGCGGACCTCCGCGCGGTTGTGTGTGTTGTGCCGTTTTGGGTCGCTCTTGACCCCTGTTCCCTGCTTCCTCACCCCCCTCCTCAAGCGAGCTTCGATTTTTTTCGATCCTGCGCAATCACAGCTGGACAGCTCTTTGGTAGCACCGCCCCCGACCAGGGCAAGCGCACGCCGGAGGCGGCAGGCTCCCGCCGAGGACGACGACGGCCCTGGCCTCTGCCACCGAGCAGGCCACTCAGCCTGGGGATCGGGATCGGGCTCGGGCTCGGGCGTGGAGTTCGGGCGTCTACTCGACGACTCGCTGGCGAAGAATCGAAGCCTCGCCTGCTTGGCAGGGTGGGGGGTGACCCTTCGCCAGAGTGACCTCGGCGCCCTCGGCGCCCTCGGCGCTCTCGGCGCCCGCGGCGCCCGCGGCGCCCGCGGCGCCCGCGGCGGCGCCCGGATCTGCCGCGCGCTCGGGACTCCGCGGGCGGCGCGGGGCGGCGGGGGCGCTCGACTACACCTCAGGGTGACCCTTCGCCGGAGCGACCTTTGGGTGCGGGCCCATGGGGCTCCTCCGACCGATCGCCGAGCGCGATGCGGTAGTACAGTCGACCCGCGCAGTACGGATGGGCAGCCTTCCCACACGTACCCTCGCATCCTTGTCTCCTCGGCCCATCTCTGGTCGCTTTCGCTGGCCGCGCCCCGCCCGCAAAGTGTGGACATGGCCTTCCAAGGCCCTTGCATCCTTATCGCACGTCCTTCTGATACGGGGTCACTGTAGCGACTTGCGCGCTTGTGTTTGGCCCCCCCCTGCGGCTCCCCAGAAGCCGCGCACCAGGGGTCGCTCTGACCCAGGGCCGCTCCTGCGTGTAGCCGACCCGCCTTTCCCGCCCAAGAGCCGACGCGTCCGACGACGTGGTTTCTCTCAGCCCGCCGCCCAAGAACTCTGGACCTTCCCCCCGCTGCAGGGGTCGCCCTCCGGGCGACGAGCCCGGAGGGGGCGAAGCGCCCGGGGGCGACGGCGGCCCTTCGGGAAGCCCCGCGGGGGCCGCCCTTCGGGCGGCGGCGGGGGCGAATGGCCTATAGGGGGGAGCACTGCGCGGGGCTGGTGGTCCTCGTCTTCGGCGAGGCTCCTGGGCGAAGGCGCGCAATGCCCGTCCCTGGGCTATTCGCCCCGCCCCCGGTCCATTTCTGATGGCACGGGGGCCCGAAGACGGCTCCAGGGTGCCAGAACAAGGGGGAAAAACGGTGGGGCATGTTTGGGAGAAGTCGCATCGGCGTGGAGGTCGAAGAAACTCTGCACGTGTGCCCCATGCGTCGGTCAGCGCCGGCGCCCGACGGGACCCGCCCGCGCAGCAGGCGCTGCAGAACGACCGCGGCAGCACGGGCGCCGCAGGACCGAGGGACGTCGACATCGTTGTCGTCGTCGTCGTCGTCGTCGTCGTCGTCGTCGTCGTCGTCGTTGTCGTCGTCGTCGGTTGCGGCGGCGGCGTCGTCGGCGTCGTCATCGGCGTCGTCGTCGTCGACGTTGTCGGCGTCGTCGTCGTCGTCGACGTCGTCGTGATCATCGTCGTCGTTAGCGGCGGCGGCGTTGTCGTCGTCGGCAATGCCGGGGCGGCAGCGGCGGCCTTGCGGAGGGAGGGAGGGAGGCCCGTCCGAGGCCCCGGCCAGAGGCGGGCGAGGGATTCGGTGCTTGCCTCTTCCGATATGTGGTGGCAGGTCGCGGGACGCATGCGTGCTGGCGCACGTAGGCAGGTGTGGCGGGTTTGCAGGACCATCGCTCAGGGCCGCCCCCTGAGGGCCGTTGGGGGCTGAGGGAGGAGGAGGCGGAGGAGGAGGAGAGGGCTGCGTCCGACAGATCCTATCGCCTTCAGCTCGTCAGGCGGAGGAGGACAGAGGAGGATGAGGAAGGAGGGAGGCTTTTTGACTCGAGGTGGGCACTGCAGACGGTGCGTCTCAAGTTTAGCGATGATGTTGAGGATTCCTACTGAGCCAGTGTGTGCAATGTTCATGTGTGGTGTATATATATATATATATGTATACGTATATGTATGCAGTGTATCAGAATAGCTCCCTGCTGCAAGGGCGCGGCGTGAGCTTCGCTCAGCTCGGAACCTCAGTGACCTTATGTGACCCTTTCCCGTAAACCTCCATTTAATCTTTAAGTGCATCGATTCGTGTCTTTCTCATGACTTAGGGGCTCTTTGGCGTTGCTTAGTGGCGCTCTCGCTCTTCCCCTTCCTCATCCCACATCGCCATCCTCCTCCTCTTCCTCCCGCCGCGCACATCCCAGGAGATCGGTCGATCGCGGCGACCACACGGTGACCGATCGGATTTCCAAGCTAACATGTGTGATTTTGTTTGTGCTTGTGCAGCGCAATGTCGAGCGCGGGGGGGTGACCTGTGCCGCCCGCCTGCGTGCTCGCGTCAAGCATTCTGCATTGTTTGGAATGGAAGGGTTGCCGTGCAGGTTTGGAAGCTGCAGTGAACCCGTAGCGATGACCGGTTAGATTTCCAAGCTTACATGCGCCTTTTTTGTGCTCCGCACAAGCGAACGCGGGGCGGGGACCATGGTCACCCGCCAGCGGCCTCGCGTAGAGCATTTAGAAAGGAAGGATCGCCATGCTGGTCTGGAAACCACAGTGAACCTTGAGCTGTGACCGACTGGATTTCAAAGCTAACGTATCATTCTGTATATGTTTCTAACAGCAGCTTGCCGCCAGCAGCCAGCCAGCTCTACACCGAATGCTGTTGTCCGTCCTCTGGCTGCTGGGGGGCTGGCTCGTTTGCTCGCTGGCTGGCTCGTCGTCGCATGCTCTCGGAGGCGAACGTTTCGTCGTCGTCAGTCGTCGCCGTCGTCGGTCGTCGTCTCTCGTCGTCGTCTGTCGTCGTCCTCGACGTTGTTGCCGTCGTCACTCGTCGTCGTCGCCGTCGCCGTCGCCGTCGTCACTCGTCGTCGTCGTCGTCGTCGTCGTCGTCGTCGTCGTCGCGTCGTCTGTCGTCGTAGCCCGACGCGGAGGCTGGCGCGGCGGGCCAGCCCGCCTCGCGGCGGCGTCTTTTGGGAGCGGCCTCGGTAGGCATCGTTGTCGGTCGTCCGTAGTTGCAGTCGTCGGTCGATTGTTGTCATCGTCGTCGTATTCGTCGTCAACGGTGTCGTCGTCGGTCGGTCGTCGTAGTTGCCGTCGTCGATGTCGTCGTCAGTCATCGTCGGTCGTCGTCGTCAGTCGTCGTCGTTGTCGTCGTGAAAGCCCGTTGGTCATCAGTCGTCGTCAGTCGTCGTCGTTTTCGTCGTCAGTCGTCGTCATTGTCGCCGTGAGAGCCCTTTGGTCGTTGGACGAATCCTCGAGGTATTTTTGGAGTCCTCCTGGAGCTCTTTTTCGGTGGGGACGGCTTCGTCTTTGAAGTTTTTGGGGGTTGCGTCCATGGCGGTTTTGGTGGCCGTCGTGGTCGTCATGGCCGCGTTGGCGTCGTGGTGGCCGTGGTGGCCGTGGTGGCCGTGGCTGCCGTGGCGGCCGTGGCGGCCATGGTGGCCGTGGCGTCCGCGGTGGCCGCGGCAGCCGTGGTGGCCTTGGTGGCCGTGGTGGCCGCGGTGCCTTCTCTGGTGCCTTCTGAGACCTTGGGGGGCCCTGATCACGCTGATCTGTCTCAAGACCGCCCCTGGCTGCCGCATTTCTGGTCCGACCAACCTCCGTCGCATGATGGGTTGATCTGTCAGACCAACCTCCGTCGCCGTCATGCCGCTCGGGGCGTGCGGGGAACACGTTGTGTATTTGTCGCGGCACCGCCGGTCGGTGTCGCACCGTTGGCCAAACCAACCATCATGTGCAGTTAAGCGCTGGCCATCTGTCTGGCCCCCCCCGTCGCCGTCGCACCGCGCGGAGAGTTTCGGAACCAGGTCAAGGGTCCATCTGTCCCGGCCCCGCCGGTCGCTGTCGCACCGTGAACCCACCTGCGTGATTTGTGCTGTCCATATGCCTGGCTCCCCTCCGGCGCTGTCGCGCCAAAACTATTGCGCGTCACGCATGCGTAATGTGAGCTGTCCACGGCGCGCCCATCGCACGTCGCACAACTCATTTGATCGATTTCTTCTTAAGTGGTCCGTGCGGCGACAGATCGTTGCGCACCTGCCTAAGACGGGCCCGTTGCCGCCGCACTGGGGAGATCTAGTCGGGGCGGACCCCCTCATGGCGAACCTGAGCCTAGCACAGCGACGGCACCAGCAGCAGGAAGTGGCCAACCGTCATCAACAGCTACAGACTCGGAGTGGTGCGTGCGTGAAATGTGCGGTTGCAGAACGCGGCGGGGCGGCAATGTCATAAAACAGCAGCTGCGATGGTAGTTCTGACTACCAGGCACGACAGGAAACACCGTGGCAGAATCATATTCTCGGCCCTGGCAAACTTGTACTGTGCCCGCTCTTGCTTCGCGTTCGGTCGATTGGGTTTTGCGGGCATCGCGAAGAACATGAGGGACGGGGAGGACCGCCATCTGCAAGAGAAGGCAGTCACATCAAGCAGCGGCGCCAGCGACGCAGAAGACAACAGCACTGGGGGCGACGGCCTGCCCAAAGCTGTGGAGAAACGGGGCAGTGCTGCCGCCGTGGCTGCCTTGCTGCGGGTCGCGCCGCGGCCAGAGGCCAGGGAACGATCCGCACTGGATGCGTGCAAGTTGGCGGCCACGCGCGGACGCCGCGCCGTCGTTCAGCAGCTCATCACAGAGAGCAAGGAGACCCAGGGGCAGAAGGAGGAGGAAGGAGGAAGAACGCCAAGCAGGGACGAGTAGAGCGAGACGCACCCTGAGAATGAGGAGGACCTGGCCTGCCCGAGACAGCAGGAGCACCACCTACCGAAGACGGCAGGCGTACGCTCGACAGCACAGCAACCTCTGTCTGCTTTGTCTTATACGGGGGGGGCACCCATACGTCATCAGCTACAGCTTAGGAGTGGGGCATGCGTGAAGAATCGGCTGTGGCAGCATGCAGCAGTGGCAGCAGGCAAGCAGTGGGTGCGTGCGAGAAGGGCCATCAGTGGCAGCCAGCAAAAACGTCACCGGCTACAATCGGGCGACAGCACCAGCCAGGGCAGCGATGCAACAGTCTCACCAGCTACAGGCCCAAAGTCGCAGCACCAGAGGCCAAAAGGACCAGGGTAACTGCCAGCAGTGGCAGATGGCAGTGGGCTGGCAGTGGCAGCGGGCAGTGGCAGCGACCAGCGCAACCAAGACGTCGTCATCTACAGGCTCGGAAAGAGCGTGCGGACAGAGGGCTGCGGCGACAACCAGCGGAGAGGGGATAACCTGGCCTACGTGGGAAACCTCTCCTACGACGCCGACTGGCGCGAGCTCACAGACCACATGAAGCGGGGACCGTGGAACTCTGTAGTGTTCACAGAGGACAGGACCGTCTACGGAAAATCGCTGGGGCACGGGCAAGTGCGCCTTGCCACAGAGGCGGCGACCAGGAATGCCACAGCCAGCCTGGCAGAGACGGTGCTCCAGGGCTGGAAGATCCTCGTCAGGACGTGGTCTGGCGCCACATGACGCCATCAGCCATGTGCGCGAAGAGTGGCGGGAAGAGCGGCGGGGGGGGGCGCGTGAGACATGCCAGCAGTGGCGGCGGATTGGGAGGGCAGCGCGAGCGATAAGTGCGGGCGGTGGTGCCGGAAGGGTGGCTCTGCGGGTGGCGCGTGGCCTCGGGCCGCGCAGTGTTCGCCCAGGGGGTGAGTGATGCTGTTTTTCCTTGTCTTAGCTGTGCGCAGCAGTGTTGGGCGGATGACGATGGTGATGGCGATGCTGATCATGTGATGGTGATGGTGATTATGATGATGCTGGTGATGATGGAGACGATGATGATGATGCTCATGATGCTGATGACGATGATGATCATGTGATGGTGATGATTACGATGCTGATGCTGATGACGATGTTGATGATGATGATGGCGATGATGCGTATGATGATAGTGATGATGCTGCTGACGATGATCGTGGTGATGGTGATGAGGATGATGGGGGATATTATGAGCGTGGCGATGCGGATGGGGATGGGGACGAGGATGATTGTCGCGATGGCGACGACGGTGGTGGTGATGATGAGACTAGCACATGTAATTGTATTGTTGATGATGGTGGTGGTTATTGAGATGATGTTGGTGATGCTGATGCTGAGGATGATGACGTTGGTGAGACGGATGATCATACTGATAGTAGTGGCAGTGATGGTGATGGCGATGGTGGTGGTGGTGGTTAGGAGGAGGAGGAGGAGGAAGGGGACGGTGATGATGATGATGATGATGATGATGATGATGATGATGATGATGATGATGATGATGATGATGATGATGATTATGATGACGATGATGATGATGATGATGATGATGATGATGATGATGATGATGGTGGTGATGGTGGTGATGGTGGTGATGGTGATGATTGCACTACTTGTAGATTTGGGTCTAGAGGCTTTGTGAGGTGCCACTTGTCCGTAATGATTACGGCTCAAGTCACGCTGCTTTGAGGAGCCCGTCCTCGATGCACTCAGGCGTCGCCTGGCTCGCCTCCAGCTCAGTTTCCATCGCTGGCGAGCCCAGCTGTCGCCGCGCCATAGGCTCGGCGGCCTATTCGTGCTTGACGGGCGTCGACCCCACTCAGTTCTTCACGTCGGCCGCCTTCGGCCTGGGGGTATTCACAGGAGTTGCGAGTGTGTACTTCGTGAAGGTCGTTTCGCGCTGTGCGCGCTGCAGGGTGCGCGTGGTGTCTGGAGAACATCGGTTGGATGCTCGGCTTGATGGCGGCGATCACCCTCGAGGCAGGTCGGAAGGTCAGCCTGTTTTATCAGCCGGAGCCGCTCCCGGCGCCACCGCCGAAGTGGCACGAGCGGGTCCTCCTCGAGCCCGGCTCGGAGATGGCGATGCAGAAGTGCACGGGCGAGTCCCTGTACAATGGGGGCATGGTCTGGTGGGTGCTCACCCCGGACGGGGACGTGTACCCGGAGGAGTTGGCGGCGCCGCCACTGGAGGGCATCGCGTACTACGACGACGCGGAGGTGCCCCATCTTCAGTTGCAAGTACGTCCGCTTCCTCCTCCAGTGGCGGCCAACGCCCACGGGTTCCGTGCCGACCGCTCAGCTGGACCTCCTACCCCGCTATTGGTGATGAGGGCGATCTCTGACGCAAGGGTGGAGCAACATGCGCTGGACCCAGAGGCAGGTGCTGTTCGCGAGGGTCCCCCTCCAGCGCCAGCAGCTGGACGTGTCATCTGGGTGATCGGGTCCTCGGCCGACGGTGACCCGGAGGCGGAGAAGGAGTACACCCACGTCCCAGGCGACATCACGATCGGCCTGGGCGCCTACTGGTTGGTCAAGCGAGGAGCCAAGTGTTTGATACTGCAGGAGGTATTGCGTCAAGACACGGGCATGATCAAACTGCTCCGAGATCAGGAGACCGACGCGAGAGTCATCCCGGTGAAGTGGAGGTCGGCCCAACAGCGTGGCCGCAACTTCCGCGAGGCCGTCTCGCTCCAGGAGTTCCACGACTTCGGCGACTCGCCGTTGCAGGGTGAGGTGAGCCTTCCTTGGCTGCTCACCGAAGTGGCCCAGTCCTCCGAGGGGATGGTGACGCGCCACCACACATGGCTGTCAGCCAGCGGCATCCCGAGCGGCGACCGCAGCATCCACGAGCATTTCGTGATTTCCAAGGTCTTCGATCTCGCGATCGAGCTGGATCAATTGAACACGATGACTTTGACTTCCTTTGAGCTGCTAGGGCGGCGCCTGCAGCTCATCGAGCAGGCCCACGTGTACAACCCCAGCAACCCCGACTACAGCAATTCGGACGACTTCATGGGCTGGGGCGTCCAGCGTGGCGCCGCCCTGGTGGCGCCGTCTATCAAGAGGCGGGCCGGCGACGCAGCACGAGATCGGGCAGCGGTCCTGAAGGAGGGTCGCAAGCTCGAGGAGGAGATCCGCCTCCGGAAGCCGAAGGGTCGTGGCCGTGGTGGCAAGGGCGGCGGAGAAGGAGACGGGGGCGCCGGCGGCTCCGGCGCAGGGGGGTCATGACCAGCTCGCAGGACCCAGTCGCTCCCTTGGAGACTCCGGCGGCTGGGTTCAAGTATGAGAAGGGGTCTCGCCTACCTGTGCAAGTTCCCCGTGACCTCTTCCCTCTTCCTGAGCTCGAGGTCGAACATCTTCAAGATCACAGCGTGAGTCGCTCGGTGCAGCGACGAGTTTTGAAGCGGAGTGCTGTGGGCGCCGAGGTCAATCGTACGATCAAGGCCCTCAATGCTCTCGATGGCCATTTGACGCCATCATCTTCCCCGCCCTCGCTGTGTCAGCGAGAGGCCATCCAATTCATTCGTTCAGTGCACGACGCAGCCGAGCCGCCGCAAGGTGACTACGGCTCCGAGGGAGCCGTCCGCGCGCTCCTCGGGACAGACTCCGCGTACGGTGGCGAGTCGACCTTGGTGCAGTCCTACGACCGGAACCTTCTCAGCATCCCACACGTGGGGGCGGAGCCCGTCCCCGTCAAGGAGATGCTGCCGCCGAAGGTTCGCTGTTGTCTCGAGGACCTGAACAACATTCTGCTCGATGATCAAGAGTGGGGCGCCGTGTGTGAACGGGCGGATCCCATCGAGCTCTACATGGATCCGAAACTTCGCTACTCCAAGAAGGCCTATTTTCAGTTTGTCCGAGACTGTCACTCGGCCGGCCTTATCCGCTGGGCGCCTCTGGTACGTGGGAGAGTCACGGTTTTCTGTGTGGCCAAGAAGACGGGCAAGCAGAGGCTCGTGGTGGACTGCCGTGCCACCAACAGGCGCTTCCGGCGGTGCCCTTACTTGCCTATGGGTACCGGGTCGAGCTGGGGAGAGATTCTCCTGGAGGACGACGCAGACCTCTGGGTGAGCCTGTCGGACATCAAGGACTACTTCTACGCCTGCGGCATCGACGATGACCTCTCCAGCTACTTTTGCCTCGACGACGTCCCAGGTTGGCTCGTCTCCGAGCTGGAGGGTAACGACAGCCGCTTCAGCCAGTTTTACGGGCGCGACGCCGTTGCGCCCGCCTTCCGAGTGCTCCCCATGGGATTCAGCTGGAGCTTCTATCTGGCACAGATCGTCCACTCCTCCGTCGTCAAGGGGGTGCTCCCAGACACGGCTGGATTGGTACTTCAGGATCGCCGGCCTGGCCCGACGATCGGCGCCCGCGGCCTCGTCTCTTTGCCTTACTGCGACAACCACGCCACCGGGGCGGGCTCCCCGGAGCTTGCCGACGGCGCCCGCATCGCAGTGGCTCGCCAGCTCACGGCCGACGGCTTCGCAGTACACGAGGAGGAGGACGCCTCCCTCTGGGCAGAGAGCCTCGGCTTCGCCATCGACGGCTTGACTGGCGAGGTGGGGCCCACCGCCAAGAGGGCGACCCGCCTGGCCGCCGCGGGCCGATGGCTTGCGCGCCGCCCCAGGATCACAGGCGTGATGCTTGAGCGCTTCCTGGGGCATTGCGCTTTTCAGCTCATGGGCGAGCGCTCGCTGCTGAGCATCTTTGGTGCGTGCTATCGCTTTGTCAGGGTGCATTATAAGCAGAAGGTCCGCTTGTGGCAGTCAGCCGCGCGGGAGTGCGAGTGGCTGTCAGCTCTAGTCCGTTTTGCTCGCACCAACCTGCGTCGGCCGTGGAGCCCCACGGCCCACATGTTCGACTCGTCGGAGACAGGCCTTGGGATCGTCCAGGGCGTTTTCGACGAGAAGCTCATCGCCGGTACTGGCCAGTACAACGAGCGGTGGCGTTTCAAGCAGCCTCATGCGCTCGCGAGGGGCGTGCGTGCGGGAGCTCTCTGGCACTTCCGAGATGTGATCGAAAATGTTGAAACAGTACTCCCTATCGCACCGCCGACCCCTCGTCCCTGGAAGAGAAGGCGCGGGTTCCCGGAGGTCCCCACAAAGATGCTCGAGAAGGACTCCTGGCACACCATCCTGTCAAAGCCCTGGTTTCGGGACGAGCACATCACCCTGCTGGAGGCCCGTACTGGGAGATTGGTTTGCAAGTCTCTTGGGAGGTCTGTTGGGAACCGCAACAAGAAGCACCTCATCCTCGGGGACTCCATGGGCTCCATCCTGGCCTTCTCCAAGGGGCGCAGTGGGGATTATCGTATGCTGGGTTGTTGTAGAAGTGTTGCGGCTTACACGGTCGCCCTCAATTGCAAGTTCAAATGGCGTTGGATCGTGTCTGAAGTTAATCATGCTGATGCGCCTTCTCGGATGTTCGAACCCTCAGTCCCGCAGCGGACACACCACGGACGTAAATATTTCCCTTCCTCTTCTTCTACCTGTAACCACTTGGCTCGCAGTGGAGAGTTTCCCACGATCGATGCTCCGAGCACCGACTCGGACGCCAGCTCCAACGAGGGCAACACAAGTGCATGTGCTGAGGCCCGCGGGGCCCGCGTCCCATCGCAGGCGGCTCCCAGCGCCGCCGGAGGGCGTGTTGTCCGTCGTTACAGTATCGACGAGCTCATCGAGATCGGCCGCGCCGCCGGTGGCAGGCCTGCTTCAGCCGCCGAGGGACCACCCGTCGGCGCAGCGGAGTCGCCGTCTGCGGGAGGACCGTGCCAAGGTTCGGAGGGCGAGACACGCTGTCCCAGCGGGGGGTGTGACTCCCGGGCCGCTCCTGCTCAAGAGGGATCCTCACCAGCTCAGTATCTTGGAGCAGGCGTCGGTTCAGCCCCAGCAGGCAGCCACATACAGGGCGACCTACGCCGAGTTCGCCAAGTGGGCCGCGAACGAGGGCATCTCCTTGCACTCGGACGAGGACGTGGACGCGGCGGCGGTCGACTACCTGGGCGCGATCTACCTGCAGGGCTACGAGGCGTCGTCGGGGGACAAGCTCCTCGGGGCCCTCAAGTTCATGAGGAGCGGAGGCCCTCGCCCTCTAGCCCTGCCGCTGACGCGGATGAGGAGGGCGCTGAGGGGCTTCCGCAAGGCCGCCCCCGGCGCCTCTCGCTTTGGGCTGCCTTGGGAATGGACGGCCGCCATAGCGGGGACCTTGCTGGCCACGAAGCGGCGGGATGCGGCCCTGTGCTTGCTGACGGCCCACGATACGTATTCCCGACCTGGGGAGATTACAGACCTGCAGGTTGGGGATGTGGTGCTGCCTACGCCCCGCCTCCGGGGCTACCACCGCCTCTGCCCGGTCATGCGGCCGGAGGAGAGGGGGCAGCCGCGCAAGACGGGGAGCTTCGACGACACGGTCTCGGTCGAGGACCTGCACGCGCACATCTCATCCCACCTGGTGCAGTTGGCGAAGGGGCGGGACCCGAGCGAGAAGCTGTTCCGCCTGTCGATCAGCCAGTACAAGGAGGCGTTCGAGAACGCCGCCGACCTCGTCGGGCTGGCCGCCGAGCAGCTCTGCACGTACCAGGTGAGGCACGGAGGTGCGTCGAGGGATGCCATGCTGAGGAGGCGCGACCTCTCCGAGATCCAGAAGCGCGGGGGCTGGAAGACGTTCAACTCCGTCAGACGCTACGAAAAGTTTGGGAAGGTGCAGCAGGCGATGAACCGCACACCGTCGGACACTCTGACCTACAGCCGCCTCGCCGTGCAGTACCTCGACGAGTGGCTCCATGGGCGTTCTATGCAGCTCAACCGACCTCCTCGGACGATAGGCCGTCGCCTAGTCGGAAAGCGGCAGAGGTCTTTGCAGGCTCCGGGAGGCTAGCCAAGGCGCTCGCTCGTAGGGGAATTCCATGTGAAGGTTGGGACATACTAGACGGACCGTCGTGTGACCTCACGCTCCCAAGTAGCCAGGACAGACTGATGAGGGGCATCCGTCATCGTAGGTACTGCCATCTCCACTTTGCGCTGCCCTGTCAGACCCTCTCGCGAGCTCGGCGCCCCGGAGGCTCTGGTCCTCCCCCTCTCAGGTCGAACACTTTTCCTTGGGGATACCCCGACCTGGAGGGCACGGGCCTCTGCAAAGTTGTTGCTGCTAATAAGCTCATTGCTTTTGTGATCAAAGCCTGTCGGTTAGCTGCGAAAAAAGGTATCACAGTTACGATCGAGAATCCTCTCACGTCAATTTTGTGGGTGATGCCCGAATTCATGCAGTTGCTCAGTGAATTGCACTTTTCCACCGCTCGGCTTGACTTCTGTATGTTCGGAGAACGCTGGCGGAAAGCCACAAAATTTGTTGGCACTGTCCCTGGCCTCAGCTCGCTGACACGAAAATGTACTACGTCGCTTTGTTCTAGAACTAAGTTGCCACACTGGGCGTTGGAAGGCAAAGACCCCACTGGAGTCTTTTGGACAAAGCGCGCTGAACCCTACCCTCCCGCCCTTTGCTCACTGCTGGCCAAGACTATAGCCAGAACACATAAGGTGGGATAGGGCAGTCGCACTGTGCTCACTCTCGCTGCAGCAGGCTGCCCACGCTCGTGGCAGCCCAGTGCCCTCAGTTGGTCAGGTAATCCTTTCTAAGCTCTGGCGCCGGTGAAAAAGCATCGTCGACCTTGCACTACTTGTAGATTTGGGTCTAGAGGCTTTGTGAGGTGCCACTTGTCCGTAATGATTACGGCTCAAGTCACGCTGCTTCCTCCTCCTCCCCTCCGCCTCCTTCTCACCTTTTTCAAAGGGCAGTCGCACTGTGCTCACTCTCGCTGCAGCAGGCTGCCCACGCTCGTGGCAGCCCAGTGCCCTCAGTTGGTCAGGTAATCCTTTCTAAGCTCTGGCGCCGGTGAAAAAGCATCGTCGACCTGATTATGATGATGATGATGGTGATGATGATGATGATGATGATGATGATGATGATGATGATGATGCTGATGCGGATGTGGATTCGGATGCTGATGCTGATGCTGATGCTGATGATGATGCTGATGTTGATGCGCTGATGGTGATGGTGATGGTGATGATGAGGAGAAGGAGGAAGAAAGGAAAGGAAAAGACAGGACAATAAAGGAAAGGCAAGAGGAAAGAGGAGGAGGAAGAGGAGGCGGAAGCGACGGGAGGGGGGGAGAGACGAAGGGAGAGAGGGAAACAGGAGGAAGGAAGGTTCCGCTTGCTTTGGTGCCCCCTCCTTGGTGTTGCCTCTCTGTCGCCTTCGCTGATTCCCCCGTGAGGCCGCTGACTCGCAGCCCCCGCTCCTGTTCCACCGTCTGCGGTGGGTGGGGAGACGGGGGAGGGGGCACGATACCCCCTCTCCAACTCCCTTTCCCCCTCTGTCCATCCTGCTGCCCTCTCCTTATGCCCCCGACCCCCTCGACCTGGCCGGTGCCGCACGGTCGTTGGGGGGGTCGTCGGGGGCGGCGTTGGCGCCGCAGCCGTCGTCCTCCTCCTCCTCCTCCTCCTCCTCCTCCTCCTCCTCCTCCTCCTCCTCCTCCTCCCCCTCCTCGGTGCGCCGCCGCGCCGCCGCCCACGGGCCGGGCGGGCCGCGCAGGCGGCGACGACCAAGGCGCGCTGCTCGAGAGGCTGCAGTCCCTGGAGGCCGCTCTCCGGCGCGGGGTGCGGTAGGCCCTTGTCGTGTCGGGGCGGCGGCTGCCCCTGTCGTGGGCGTGCAGGGCCGAGCGTCGGAGGAGGATGAGGAGGAGGAGGAGGGGGAGGAGGAGGAGGAGGAGGAGGAAAAACAGGAGGATGAGGAGGAGGAGGAGGAGGAGGGGGAGGAGGAGGAGGAGGAGGGGGAGGAGGAGGAGGAGTGAGGGGAGGAGGAGGAGGAGGAGGCGCTCCGGGCACGTGTGCGGTCCACTCTGCGGAGCATGGAAAAGCATCAATGGAACTGCCGACTTCTGCGCCGCCGACTTCGTTCCTCAAACATGTTCCAAGTATCATCGGCGCCTCTTCCACTAAGCCGCTACCGTTGTGGATCGCATACGTGCCCGAAGCGCAGGGAGGGAGTAGTCGTAGTAGTAGTCGTAGTCGTAGTCGTAGTTGTAGTAGTAATCGTAGTAGTAGTAGTAGTAGTAGTAGTAGTAGTAGTAGTAGTAGTAGTAGTAGTAGTAGTAGTAGTAGTAGTAGTAGTAGTAGTAGTAGTAGTATTAGTAGTTAGTAGTAGTAGTAGTAGTAGTAGTAGTAGTAGTAGTAGTAGTAGTAGTAGTAGTAGTAGTAGTAGTAGTTCGTAGTCGTAGTCGTAGTCGTAGTCGTAGTCGTAGTCGTAGTCGTAGTCGTAGTCGTAGTCGTAGTCGTAGTCGTAGTCGTAGTCGTAGTCGTAGTCGTAGACGTAGTCGTAGTAGTAGTAGTAGTAGTAGTAGTAGTAGTAGTAGTAGTAGTAGTAGTAGTAGTAGTAGTAGTAGTAGTAGTAGTAGTAGTAGTAGTAGTAGTAGTAGTAGTAGTCCGAAATAATAGGAGTAGTCGTTGGTAGAAGTAGTTATATGAGAATATAGTAGTAGTAGTAGTAGTAGTAGTAGTAGTAGTAGTAGTAGTAGTAGTAGTAGTAGTAGTAAGTAGTAAGTAGTAAGTAGTAGTAAGTAGTAGTAGTAGTAGTAGTAGTAGTAGTAGTAGTAGTAGTAGTAGTAGTAGTAGTAGTAGTAGAAGCAGTCGTAGTCGTAGTCGTAGTAGTAGTAGTAGTAGTAGTAGTAGTAGTAGTAGTAGTAGTAGTAGTAGTAGTAGTAGTAGTAGTAGTAGTAGTAGTAGTAGTAGTAGTAGTAGTATTAGTAGTAGTAGTAGTAGTCACCATCATCATCATAATCACCATCATCCCCATCATGGTCGTCATCGCTCTACACGCAAGGACACGTGCAGGCGGATATTCATAATCATCATCATCAACGTCATCATCAACAACCTAGACATCTTCATCGTCATCAGTCTCTGCAAACTGACGTCCATACGGGCAGATTCTCAAAATTGTCCCCCCTGTGTGCTCCGAAACTGGGGTTTTGGAGGCACGATGGTCCTCCCCAGACATCTCGGCGAGGCTCTGTTGCACTTCCCCTTGCGTGCCAGAGGTCCGTGGTTGCTGTTCCACTTCGGAGGTCCTCGGCGTGTGCGCTCTCGTTCTGGTTTATTTTTTCGCACACGATTCTGATCGTTCTGACATACATTTAGCCAGTGAAGCATCCTTGCAATGTGTTAATTTCTTTCTTCATATCTCAAGTGCGCAAAAGGCCGGACCGCACACGTGCCCGGTGCGGGAGGAGGACGAGGAGGAGGAGGAGGAGGGGGAGGAGGAGGAGGAGGAGGAGGAGGAGGAGAGGAGGAGGACGAGGAGGAGGAGGAGGAGGAGGAGGAGGAGGAGGAGGGCCGAGGCTACCCTTCGCCTGTTTTCTCCCTTCTCCTCGGCCTCCCGGGAGGCCCTCCTCGTCGCCGCTGGCTTCGCCTCGAGGTGCAGGTCAAAGCGCACCCCGGGGGAGGTCCAGGGAGTAGCGGCGCTCGGTACCTCTTGGTTCCCCCAGAGCACCGCCATTGGCCCAGAGTCGGCCAAACATGGAACGTTGTGGTGATCGTTTTCTCATCCATTGTCTCGCCGACTGGCGCGGGCTCTGGCACCCCCTCCCCCCCTGGAGTAGATCTTGGCTGTTCTTGGCGATTGTTTCAAGCAGGTGGAGTCTCCCCCATAGGTCGCACTGGTGCAAACAGACGCATTCAGCAGAGGTCTGGAGCCAGACCTCCCCCCTTCCGCCCAATGTCGAAACGCACAACAAGAAAACGTTGACCTGGCGATCAAGAAGCCACCGTCGGTTCTGGGTTGAAAGATTCACGCGGTGTCGGAAGCCAGCACCGAAATTGTCGCGACGCGAATTTGCCATAGGTGGGTGGCCAGGAGGAGGGGAGGACGAGGGGCGACATCAGGCGAGGAAAAGATACCAATTCTGCTGCTTGTCCCGTAGGACCCTCGCCTCCACGGCTGCATTCTCCTCAGAACTAGGGCCCTCACTCTTTACCCTGATCCCTCACTCCTCACTCCTCCTCCTCCTCCTCGTCCTCTTCCTCCTCCTCCTCCTTCTCCTCCTCCTCCTCCTCTCCTCCTCCTACTCCCACTCCTCCTCACCCTCCTCTCTCCTCTTCTCCTCTTTCCTCCTCCTCCCCTACCCCTCCTCCTCCTTTTCCTCCCTCCCCCTCCTCCCCCTGTTCTTCCTTCCTCCTCCTCCTCCTCCTCCTCCCATCCTCCTCTCTCCTCCTTAAACTTCTTACTTTCTCCTCCTCCTCCTCCTCCTCCTCCTCCTCCCTCCTCCGCCTCCCCCTCATCCTCCTCCTCCTCCTCCTCCTCCTCCCTCCTCCTCCTCCTCCTCCTCCTGATCCCCCTCCTCATCCTCCTGTTCTTCCTCCTCCTCCTCCTCCTCCTCCTCCTCGTCCTCCTCCTCCTCCTCCCCGCCGGGCCTTCCTGCGCCGACTCCCCCCCGCGCCGCCCCTGCGGCAGGCGGCGTGCACGGAGATGGCGGGCCTCTCCCAGCAGCACCACGACCTGCTGCACGAGGCCTGCCGCTGCGGCGCCCGGCCCCGCGTCGCGGCCGCTGGCCGCTCGCGTCGGCCGCGCGCCGCCGGGGGCAGCCCCCGGCGAGCCGCGCCATGGCCGCCTTCTCGCCTCGGCGGCCTCCAGGGCACCGGGGAGGAGGAGGAGGAGGAGGAGGAGGAGGAGGACGAGGAGGAGGAGGCGAGGCCCGCCCGAGGCGGCTGCTGCTGCCGCCCGTGGGGCCATCGGCCTGGCCGATGGCCTGGTGCCGTGTTGGGCCAGCGGCTGGAGAGCGGATAGCCCTGCTCCATCCTTGCTCTTTACCCCGCCTCCCTGTTCATGTCCGTGTACTCCTCGGGATCCTCCCCATGGATGGGTAAGTAAGTAAGGAGGCGGAGGCGGAGGATTCTTGAGGGCTGTCTCTGCAGGCTGGAGGAGGAGGACCTTGCGCCCTGTGCGAACAGCCAGCGATGACGATCCTCGTTCCTAGTTCTACCCCCCCCAGGGCTGACCGGCCCTGGGCGGGGATGGTCGCGTCCGTAGGATTCTCGGGCCATCAGTGGCCCAGTGGCTCGCTCAGGCGGAGGAGGAGGAGGAGGAGGAGGAGGACCAGTGCAAACCCGAGGTGCAAAGACGATGTTGCAATAAAGCCTCCCTCTGAGTTTCGTCTTCATGGGTCCCTACGAGAATTGATGTTCATTCTGGGGTGCGGCCCACTGAAGACAACCGTCCGTGAATCTTCAATCGTGTCAGAACGCAGGTCCTGGGACTTGAACGCCGCGGAACAAGGTGACAAGTACGTCCTCGCACTTCTTAACCGTGCCAGAGCACAGTTCCTTGAACTTCAACCCTGCACTCTGCGAATCAGCGTGACTGCCGCGTCCTCACAGTCCTAAATCGCTCCAGAACGCCGTTTCTTGGACTTCAACCATACGAATATTTGAAACTTGACGTTCGCTGTCGAGACGGCATACTAATCACTGAAAGTTGGTTCGTCTGTTTAGACGGCATAGGTGGCGGTGGGCGGCTAGATTTGCCGACATGGACGGAAGCCGGTGGGCATCGTCAGTATAACATTGGGGCCCTGAAACCACTAGTCAGATTGCATGCCGGAAGCCATTGGGACCGAAACTGCGGTGGGAAGATGGGAAGATACGATTACTGGCTTCTCCAAACACGCAGGCATCGCAACACCATGGTATAAAGTTGCACCATCTTTCAAAGCATGGGGTTGTTCGAGATGAATATTCGTATTTCGACATGCGTATCTGGGAAGTTGCAGGGCTATGTTGTTTGTTTCCCCCTACCGTGTGTCACCGCCCCTACCCTCTTCCTTCCTGCTCCGCCACAGACAGCATGCCGATGTTCTTTTGCTTCCCAGTGGGAGTGCGCTCTCCAGCGCTCGCCCTCTCTCAGAGGACAGGCCCCGCAGCGGGCACGTGAGCCGCACTTGCATTCGCATTCGCTATCTTTGAGCCTGCTACAAACTTTGAGGACCAATGTGCGCGGCGCTACGGCGAGAGCCACTTTTCGATCACGACCCAGCCTCTATCCGTGAAACTGTAGCAAGCTTTTCAGACGAATGAGCGCGGTGATACGGCGAGAGCCACATTTTCAAAACGACCCGCCCTCCACCCGTGAAGCGGCTTTTAAAACGAATGTTCGCGGTGCCAAGGCGACACCCACATTACGACCCGCCCTCCTTCCGTGAAGTTGCCGCAAATTTCAAGTTTCAGGGTCGTACATGGTGAGGAAGTCTAAGTTGAAACGCTCGGCCCGCCCTACCGACACGTCTGGGGGTGCGACAGGGCGGAGTTATTCATAAGGAGAAGGGATGGAGGAGGAGGAGGAGGAGGAGGAGGAGCAGGAGGAGGAGGAGGAAGAGGAGGAGGAGGAGGAGGACGAGAGTGGCGCGAGCCTGGCGCGCTCCCGTGTACGGCGCCCCCACTTCCTTTGTCCCTCGGGCTCCCAGTCGAAGGATGGGTTGCCGCGTGTCCTCGCCGACGGCGCCAGCAGCAGCAGCAGTCGGGGGCGACGTTAGGGGGGTTTGGCTCGAAGGGGGACGCATCGACCCCCGATCGCCCATTGATCGCCGATGGGAGCCCGAAAGCCCGCCCCGTCCAGACACGTGGGGATTCGCCATCGGGGGCGTATCGCCGATCTATCAGCAGTGCATCGCCGATTCAAGCTCGATGTTCCCCCCCCCCCCCCCGAGCCGGTCCCTCCTAGCGTTGCCCCTCAAGCAGGGTGGGTGGCGTGGCGCCCGGCGCCCGCAGGCCCCCTCGGTCACCCGCAGCGGCGTGAGATCCAGCCAGGCTTCGCGCCTCAACGGCCAGGGCCGCAGGTGCACAGGGTGCTCTTCTCGAGGGGGCGCGGCACCGAGGGCCCAGAGGTGACCGCGGCGCCGAGGCCGCGAGCGGCGCCAAGCGCGAACCTGGGCGATCTCTTGGCATCGCTCGGACGTGTGGATCCATTCCGCGGCGAGGGCCATCGAGCAGCATCTTGGATCATCTTGCGGATCAATGCGCGCAAGAGGTCGAAACGTGCACAGGGCGTGCGAGCGACGGCGGTCCGGGTGCACAGTGCACGTGGCTGCGATGTGCACAGTGAGCAGGTGTTCAGTGGACGTGGCTGCGGTGCAGAGTGCACAGTGCACACGGCTTCAGTGCACCGTGCGCATGGCGTGACGCGCGAATTCGCTCGATCAGGTGAAGAGCAGCTCCGACCAGGCGCACATGGACCTTGGCCGCCTTGCCGCGGACCGCCCTGCGCGCTCGCGGCCGCCGCTGGTCGTCGCCGACGCCGCTGCGGCTGCCTCTTGCCATCACCGCTGCCAGTGCTGCTGCTGGTGTCATCGGCGCTGGCGGCATCGCCTGTAAGGTGGGTGTTTTCCCAAGCGCTGGGCCTTTCGTTCGTCAGGAGCCGTCGCCCCCGTCGGGCGCGGACCTGGCGCAAGGGTCTGCTGAGAGGCGAGTGCGCGAGAGCACCAAAAGGGGGCCACCCGTCTCGAGCAACCCTGTCTGAAAGACCAGCCTGCTCTGTGCCAGATGCTGTGGCTTGCTGCTACCCTTGCTCAGCGCTCTACTAGAGTCTGCCTGAGATAATTGCGCATCTGGAAGTTGAAGCCGACTGCAACGAACTGGCGCCTAAGCCACTTGATGATATCCCCCCTCGTCCTTTTGCAAGTTGAGCGCGAAGAGCTTTCTCAACAGGCCGTGCTGCAAATGCTTGGCGAACGCGGGCATGCCGTGGGAGTCGAACATGACAACGCAGGCTTGTCAATGACGGTCGTGTTCAGGGCACTGTTGTGGGTGATGGCTAGCCTGCGCATTTCTTCGACGCTTGCCTGTGCTTTCACTCTCGTGCCTATCAGCCTGTTGGTCACCTTGTTGGAACAGCCTTCCAACTTTCCCGAGGTGAGCCAGCCAGGGTATCCCTGGCTCTGGAGGCGAATCTAGGAGATTTGTTTGTTTCCGTCCAACGCCGAGCTATTCGCAAGGCGGTGGAAAAGATATAATTAGTGGAGACATCGGCAGGATGTGCAGATGCATTTGGCCCATGCGAACTTCACATGGTTTGACGTAGAGGTCCCAGCTCTCCCTCCCGAAGTCAATGGAAAGCAGAACGTCAAGATAGTGTAGATTGTTGCGCGGTGCTGGTATGTCCTATGCCATATGTATTACTGTGGTAGTTTTTAGGCAGGTGTGCACGGGCCTTGGACAGCGCTAGGTTACATGAAACAAAGCCGTCGTCCACAAATCCGTTCCAGAAGCGAGCCCCTGGGATACGAATCGCATGGCGATCGAACTTGTGCAGGAATATGTTCGTAATCTTCACTGCTGCAGAAAGCCTTGTGTGAATCCCCCGCTGCCGACAATAGAGCAGGTCAATACGTTGTACCATGTTGTGGGCAAGCTGGAAGAGCAGACTGCCTACATGTGCGACCTGTGAGTTGCCAACATCACCAGCTGGTAACTTGGACTGCCTCATCGTCGATGCCGCTCAGCGCTATGAGCCGGTATGTTCTCAACGACGCATTGACATCGATCCCGCAGTGACGCAAAGATTTAGCACAGGACGGCTGAAGTTCCTTGGGCTCCAGGACCTCGTGAGATTCATGACCCGTCTTCAGGGGCATCGTAGGAGGGAATGCATCGACCCCCAATCGCCCAATCATCGCCGATCGCTGGCTGATGGCCCACCCCGCCACGAGTGCGCCTGCTTCGCCGTCGAGGGCCTGTCGCAGATCTATCGGCGACGTAACGCCGATTCGCTGGTCGATGTTCCCTCCCTAGTGTAGGCCTCCCAGAAGGGGGTCGGAGCAGATCGGGTTGGCGGGTCGCGCCGCGTCGCAGATGCATCGGCGATGTGACTTGACGTGGAGCCCGATTGTCTCCACGCCGACGTCGCCGATGCACCGCCGACGTCGCGGACGCATCGCCGATGCATCGGTGATGCATCGGCGATGAAGCGCGATCCTCCGACCCCATCTGCTCGGACCCCATGTGGGAGGCTTCTACGTACTGGGCAAGCCCTCCCAATGAGCCAGTACCCCCCCCCGCTGAGCCAGTACCCCACCCCCCTGCCGTTGCCCCTCAGGCCTGCACCTGGCTGGCCAGCCATCTCTGGACCTTCGCGCCCGAGGGCGGAGCTCTCGGCGAGGGCCGCGCCTCGCCTTGCCGTCGCACGCCATCGGCTTGTTGGGGGGGGGGGGGGGGGCAGACAGCCGCCTTCGGCGCACGGGCGTGCGGCGCATGGGCGGGAGGTTTCCCGGCGCGGCCTGGGGCGCCTGGAAGGGGTGGGCGAAGAGGAGCGACTCCTGGCTGGCGCGTGGGACGGGAGGGGGAGGGGGAGAGAGGCGGGGTCGGGCTCCTCTTCTTCTTCCTCCTGTTCCCGCTTACCTCTTCGCTTCATCGTGGCTTCATTCGCCCAGTGTGTGGTGCGTGCTCGTCTTTTCGATCTGCTGTAGCGCCCTGCCTGGCAGCATGATCGTGCTTGAAGAAGAGGAGTCGGGTATGACATCTTCCTTCCTTATCCTCCTCCTCCTCCTCCTCCTCCTCCTCCTCCTCCAAGGCACAAGTCGTAACAAGCACAACCAGGCCCAGTCATCTCCAGTCGACAATGGGTCGAGGGCGGCATTGATGATAAACTCGTAGCACTCCCTCTTCCCCTCCCCTTCCTCCTCCCTCCCTCCCCTCCCTCCCCTCCCCTCCCTTCAATCCTCCCCCTCCCTCCCCGCACCCTCCCTCCCTCCCCTCACCTCCCTCCCTCCTCCCCTCCCTCCCATCCTCCCTCCCCTCTCTCCCCTCCCTCCCTCCCTTCCTCCATCTCTCCCTCCCCTCCGTCCCTCCCTCCCCCCCCCGAGGGGTGGCGAGTGGCCCCCGGAACCCGCCTCTCCCCCGCGCCCGGCTCGCCGAGGAGGTCGAGGACCGTCTGCTGCGGGACGCTAAGGCCTCGGAGGCGGGCCGCCGCTCTCTGCCCCCCCCCGGACCCTGTAGAGAGGAGGAGGAGGAGGAGGAGGAGTAGGAGGAGGAGGAGAGGAGGAGGAGACGGAGGAGAGGAAACGGAGGAGGAGGAGGAGGAGGAGGAGGAGGAGGAGGAGGAGGAGGAGGAGGAGGAGGAGGGAGGAGGAGGAGGAGCAGGGAGGCGTGCATCTTCGTTGTGCTGCGCCTGCTGAGCAATCTGGGCGGATGTGCGTTGGCGTGCGGCGTGCGGGCTGC